AACTTACCTTAAACCTCATAAGGAATTCTTACTCAACTTATGAGTTCAGAAAACGGCTCCCAACATTCAAGTCTCTGTAACAATTCACCTGATGACTCTTAACGGATTATCGGATTGACCTATTAGCCAAGATGTCACTATCCTCTTTGGCCACACACCCCCACCAGGTCAGTTTCAATATAATGGCACAGCCCAATGACACACTTCTCACTTTAAATCATTGTAGAATGTATAGAAGTTTATTCAAAGTTTCTCAGGGATGAAGGAGGGGTTTACACTATATATTGCAGAAAAAACTTTGACTATTCACCATCCCTGCAAAAGTCCCACTATATTAGTGATGCAGACTTTTATGAAGACTCCAGATTTCTCCTTTCCACCCCCTTAGTCCAGCCCCTCCCCAGGGGGGCTGTATCTTGAGCCCTTTTTTTAATGCTATTTTTGAGAGACAAGAGTGAGTGGGGTAAGGGCAGAGAGAGGAAGACACAGAATTTGAAGCAGGCTCCAGACTCCAAGCTGTCAGCATACAGCCCGATGCGGGGCTTGAACCCATGAACCCGGAGATCATGACCCGAGCAAAGTCAGGTGCTTAACTGACTGAGCCACCCAGTCAGTGGCTCTTGAGCCCTTTTTTGTACTAGTAATCTGGTAATCTTGTGACTTAATCTTTGCTACCATTTGATGTTTGTCCAGGTGGGAAAGGAGGGAACAGGAGGAGAGGAAAGGAGAACAACGATGTGCAAGAGAAGATAGTAATGGCTTTTGGTTTGCTCTGAACAATTAATGCTTGTGTTGCCGCTAATTTTTAAAATAGGCATGTTACCTCTTTCAATTTTACAATTTTTGATATGTTCACAAATAGTTTAAAGCAAAACAATCTCCCTCTCCCTCAGGAGAAAGTTACTTTTGACAGTATTTTAAAGAGATCCAAGCAAGAGTACACTTAAAATTTGTAAGCATGAGCTTGAGTGCCTTTGTCCACTGCTCCTCTGTGTTCAAGCGGGTTCGGATGGAATAGAGCTCACCAGTGCTTCCGGAGGCTTCCATCAGGCCATCTTGCACATGAATCTTGCAGGGCAGGCAGAGACCCCACTCCTCTTCCTCGGCCTTTTCCTTGAACTGCTGCATGCAGTCCAAAAAAGCCATCATTGCGAGGTCAAATTTGACATCCGAGTAAGTACTCTGCCCTGAGATGCAGAACAACGGCAGCTCAATGGTGTCATCTGTTAAAGACTTCAGATAGGACCGGTTCCCGCGGGGGAAGAGTCGATACCTCTGAAACCTCAGCCCAACCTTGTTGGACAGGGCATGGAGCAGCAAAGCTGTCTGTCCCCAGGCCATGTTGATCTCATTCCAGCTCACGGGAACAGTGGGGAGGCAGCCCAATCTGAAGCTGTTGATGATGCCCACAGGGCCATCATGTGTGATCTCGAAGGTGGCACTGAAGACGTTGGTCTTCTGCAGCCGGTCCCACTGCCTCTGGGCGTGTGCCAGCTGGTTCCTCTTGCTGGCCAGCTCATCCTGCAGCTCTGATTGCTGCCATTCCAAGTGACTGTAGTCCCTCCAGCACCGTTCGTCCTGCTGGGCCAGCATCCGCGTCTCTGCTCGGGCTGCCTCAAGATCCTCTGCTACCCTTTCTCGGTTCCTGTCCACCTCCTCCAGCTCCCGGACCAGCCTTGCCTCCTGCAGCTCCAGGCCCTCCAGCTCCCCCTGCAGTGTCGCCAGCTCCTCCTCGCGCAGCCTCCTCGTCCTCCAATGTGTGTAGTTCTGGTTGTCAGCCTCTGTGAGGATGAGCTGGGTATCCAGTTCCTCTAAAAGTTGGTCAGTACAGTCTTCACACAGGGGGTGGTCCACATCTCTTTCACCAGTCAGGATGTCGAAAATGTCCCCAGAG